CATAAATGGTATGGCCGCAGTCGTCAAAGCTCAATCATTAGCTGTATTTATTAGTGGTCTTATTCAACCAATACGCACAATCCTTAAAGCCACAAGACCCGATTCTTTCGAATCAGCGGTAACAGTCGCGATAGAAGAAGAAAAAGCTCTCGAAAGCGAATACGCGCTTCATAAACGCGACAATTTTAATCCAAATTTTAAGAAAAACCGTTCTAACGATAAACAAACACGTCCTAATAATTTCGTACGCCTTATCTGTGCTTATTGTAAAAAAAATAACCACCATATTTCGGAATGTAGGAAATTAAAATTCGTCGAAGAACAGAAAGCGAACGCAAATTCCGCAGGTTCTTCTCAAACGCCGCGTAATAATTCAAACAACGCTCGCGACACACGTAAACCGTCGTTTAATCGTCGTCAGCCTAACACAAGGGCAACAAACTCGCGTTCTGCCTCCGATAGCGCTATTAAAACCGCAAGTGACTTTCAAACCGCTAGTATTAAACTAGTCACAAAAATCGAAAACGATCACATTTGTTGCTATTCAACACATTTAAAAGCAGGAAACGGGAAATTTTTTTTAGATAGTGGCGCCGATGTTAACTTAATTAAAATTCAATCACTTAAAGGTTTTGTCGAGATCGATACTTCCAAGGCAAAAATTTTAAACGGCATAAATTCAGTCTCAGTAAAGACCTTAGGTCAAACTATTATCGAACTTATTATTGATAACCGCAAAATTTTAGTAGAATTTCAAATCGTAGAAAACGATTTTCCTTTACCTTTTGACGCATTACTCGGAAAAGCATTTCTGAAGTCTCATGGTGCAGTCCTCGACTTAAACGATAATATTTTGATTCTACCAACAAACGAAAATTCTATTATGGTACCCGCGCGTGCAAAATATATTTACTCTATTCAAACACACGACATTATCCCGAACAATACCGATATTATTCTTCATAATAAAAATCTAACAGATGATGTTATTCTAGGGAATTGTGTTACGACAGTACACAATAACGAGGTTATATCAAGTGTCATTAATCTTGACACAGCGCCAGTTGAAATCCGCAATCTATCATTAAATGACTGTATATGGGAATTATTAGACACAGCAAACGTTAATGTAATCCAAGACTCGTCGAACACTACCGACACTATCCCCACAGCCACACAACCGGATCGTATTTCTCGTTTAAACGATAATTTAGACTTGACCCATTTAAATCCCGATGAACGTGATTCTGTTTTAGACATCTGTCATAAGTACTCAGACCTATTCTTTCTTGAAGGCGACTCGCTCACTTTCACTAAAACACTTATGCATTCAATTAATACGCCAACCGATGCTAGACCGATACATCTTAAGCCGTACCGATTGGCGCAAGCTCAAAAAGGGGAGGTAGACAGACAAGTCACCGAATTGCTAGGGCAAGGTATTATCGAACATAGTAATAGTCCATGGAATTTCCCTCTTCTTGTCATTCCAAAAAAGGAAGATAGAACGGGTAAAACCAAGTTTCGTATTTGTATTGACTACCGTAAACTCAACGAGATAACTAAGGGAGACGCGTATCCATTGCCGAATATTACCGATATACTAGACAATTTAGGCTCTTCTAAATATTTTACAACTTTAGACTTAGCTAACGGTTATATGCAAGTCAAAATAGACCCAAAAGATCGTGAAAAAACGGCGTTCAGCTGCGATCAAGGTCACTTTCAATACACTCGACTGAATTTTGGCATGGCTTCAGCGCCAGCGACCTTTTCGCGTCTCATCAAAAGCGTTATCAGTGGTCTAAGCCCACCTTTTGTATACGCCTATTTAGATGATCTTGTTTTGCATGCGACTAGTTTAAAGGATCATTCAGAAAAATTAATTAAAGTTTTTAATCGTCTACGACAACACAACTTAAAGTTGCAACCTGCCAAATGCGAATTTCTCCGTAAAGAAACGATTTACCTGGGGCATGTCATTTCTTCACAAGGTTTACGTCCGGACCCTAGAAAAGTAGAGGCAGTCCTAAATTTCCCTCGACCTATTAACACAAAAACTTTAAAGAGTCTGTTGGGACTTAGCAATTACTATCGGAAGTTCATTCCGTCCTACGCAAAGATCACTAAACCATTAACTTCACTTCTAAAAAGTAACGTACCATTTATTTGGAGTGATCTATGCGAACAAGCTTTTTGTCAAATCAAAGACATTTTAACTACAGAACCTATTTTACAATTTCCCGATTTCAAAAAGCCCTTTGTACTCAGCACCGATGCAAGTAGTTACGCATTGGGAGGAGTCTTAAGTCAAGGACCCATTGGAAGGGATCTACCCTGTGCTTATTCAAGTCGAACTTTGAATAAAGCTGAAATTAACTATTCGACTATAGAAAAAGAATTACTATCTATTCTTTGGAATGTCAAACATTTTAGGCCTTATCTATGGGGTAGACATTTTACTATTTTCACAGACCATCGCCCGTTATGTTATTTATTCAATATCAAAGACGCTAGTTCACGTCTAGTCCGTTGGAGACTAGAGTTATCTGAGTACCAATTCGATGTAGTCTATAAACAGGGAAAATTTAACACTAACGCCGATGCGTTATCAAGGGCTATCCCGGAATACGAAATAAAAAATATTCCTAATTATATACACAAGATTACGTATACAGGAGGGTTTGACGATTTCTTTAATCGATATACAAGTTCCATTATTCTCAACTCGCGTGTCACCGACGTAAACGATACTATAACGAGCGTAGCCGACAACACCGTAGTAGTATTATTTCTCGACCAAGACCGGTTTGCTAATTCATATAAGGAATTGACCACTTGTTACCCAGAACTGCACGATGTAACATTTCCGCAATCAGACAAATACATTTATTCCACGGATAAATTTTGTATATTGTTTTTTTTAGGCGACAGTAATCCGTTTACTTCCCAATCTATTTATGATAAATTGTCAGAAGTAAAGGATTACACATGTGCAAACAATACCACACACGTTCATATCGATTTAAATAGTAAATGTATAGAAGACGTTGCACAAACCCGAGCTATGACGCGATACGTTTTTTCTAATAGCAATATCCAGGTTACATTGTTTTACGCGACCAAGGACGAAACGGCAAACGGTACACCGCCCGATGCCGCCGCCAACGAGGCCGCTGCACTCGTATCGGATTCCGAATCAATTAATACAGATAACGAACCACGTGCTATTGTTGACATAGATCAACAACAGCAGATAATCAGGGAATTTCACGATAATCCGTTAGGAGGGCACCAGGGTTCCAAGCGATCGTTTAGTCGGATTGCTAGGTTATACCATTGGAAAGGGATGCGTAAACAAATAGAAGATTATATATCTAAATGCGACATTTGCCAAAAATCAAAAAAACATTTAAATACAAAACAACCAATGGTTATCACCACCACATCTAGGTATAGTTTTGAAAAACTTTTTATGGATTTAGTCGGTCCTATGCCTCTAACCAACTTTAGGCCACTTAACCTGGTCACCAACCAATGTTATCCGAACCGTTAGTGAGTGTAGTGTAGAGGTGGGAGGAGTTGCCTACACAAAACCAGAGAGCTATGATATGCAAGGTGTGTAAGGTGTGTATAATGTGGGTGTGTAAGGATTTCCTATGAACTAATAACTAAATAAATAAAACTCAAATTGCTAGTAATAATTATAATAATACTCTATAACTCAATAATAAATGTATAATTGCCTTTTTGGCACAAAATGTTATCTCAACAATTATAATAAGTAGTTGCTAAAAAACATACAATTTGGTAATAAGAAATCAATAATTAACTGCCCTTTTGGCATAAAATATTATAGTAAAAATAATTTAACTACAATGATAATAAATAATTCAAAAATGACTAAATAAAATATTATAAAAATAGGAACTTTCAATGCGAGCAAACTACGTAAATTCATAGATATTTCATTTATTTTTAAAATACTTACAATTAATGGTATGATTGATTGCCCAGAAATATTGGAAAAAATTCAATTTAGAGTGCCAAATGTAAACACACGAAGACATTTTATTTAGAGCACCATATAAACAATTTTTTTATAAATAACCCTCTTCGTCGCATGCTAAGTTCGTGCAATGATCTATGTAATTTTGATTTCTTTTCTGATAATATTAATTTGTTGCGAATAAGTGCTGTGGATTAATTGTAATTATTTTTTTTGTTATATTTGTGCTATTTATTTATTCGTTGTATTCGTTTTTAGTTATTATTTCTGTACACTTGCCCTTGTTGCCGTAAACAATTTTAAATAACAAAAATAAAATAATGATAATTAAATCAAATTAAAACAAGACAATTATTGTAATTATTATTATTATACAGGCCGATCACTAAAGAATACCACAACTATGCAAATAATTCGTATAAATTCAACCGACCAGAACGTTACTCTGACATCTATTGTGTCTGGGAATTTCTGAAGTTTAATTTGGTTGCCCAAAGATGTCGCTAGGAGCATTGGCCGCCACGTAAATAATGAAGCATACCTGCAACGGTGAATTTGTCGTCAGGCAGCTCGTGACAATGCTCTTCACCACTAAAGTCATAAGAAGCTCCGATTTCACCCCGATGATTTTTTCTAAAGGGGGTTCGTAAAACATAAGGTTTACTTCCCATCTCTACCAAATAACTGAGATGAGCTAAACTGCGACAGTTGAAACTGTTAAGCTTGAAATGCTTCAGAGAGTATGGAATGAGTTCGATAATAGATTAGATATATTTTTTACTATTTAAAATTATTATGTCTTCATACGTTTTACCAAATGTCTCGTTGAATAAATACAGATTTTAAAAGTTGTGGTATTCTTCTGTACTCATTCTATGTTTGTTACTCAAATAAATAAATTAATATTGTCAGAATTATTCGATTTATAATTATTTCTATAACCATAATACATATCAAGTTTTTACTATAGTCGAATAAGCCGACTACTCTTCTAGTCGTAGATATCACCGGAATTCACATATATCATTCGCATGGTATTCGTAAATCCTACACTTTCTTTACTTCCACTTGTTACTATTACTAAATCCCCATTTTTCAGTATGCCTTTAGTTTTGCCGAAATTCATTGCAAATCGTATGCGGGCTTCGATGTCTTTTAACCATTCGGTTTCTTGAGGAGCTAAAAAAACGTACAATAAAGATTTGGCGGCAAAGATATGAGCTAAAGAAATAAAATATTTAAATAAACCCTTAACCACAAAAACATAATTTTTATCGTTTTTTTTTTATAGTATCAAGCCATCAAAAAAAAAATATTATAAATCAATATTATGTTAAATAATCGCTTTCTAAAAAAAAATATGTATTTTTTCGAGTAACAATTATTTATTTAAATTGAGTTTACAATGTGTTTTTTTAAAAAAAAGTTTTTCTCGTGCTGCCCAAAATTTGATAATTTTTCAATATTTTTTTAAAAAATCTGAAATAACTTTACATATTAGATTCTTTCTAAAAACGCTTAGAAAAACATAAATAGAGGTAAGACAAAAAGAGGTAGTATAGTGTAGTTGCTGACGGTATTCGTTTAGTTGTCCGAGTTCTTCGCGGATGTCGAAGAGCCGTCGTCACGTTAGAATAGGTACAAGGGGTACAAACGAATCACAAGGCACGAGGACCTAAGGAAATATCATATACTGTGCGAATGAATCTCAAGACAAGTGTATTTAGAAAGGAAAAAGTACAAGGTATTGAACAAACAAACTTGAACTTAAACCAGGGAAAACGGACAGCGACCACTGATTACTCTTGACTAATGACAATTGGTGCATTAGACTCGACTGAAGAGAAATTATTGAAATTTAATGTCTATTATATTGATTTAACTATTGCAATTCATTATTATTTCTATTTTTTTACTTATTTAATTGATTAGTCATCAGTCTCGAGTCGCTTGAAGCACTGCTAAAATGTATTATTAAATAGTTCGTATATTGATGATGTAGTCATCATATATCAGTAAAGAAATAAACTAAAAATACTTTATACGACCATGGCCAAAAAAATCGAAAAAAAAATTTGAGAACATTATTATTTTTCGAAACAGACATGCAAGGTGAGTTTCAAAATGTTCAGAGGGGGGGGGGGAGGTTTTGATTAAAACAAGTTGTATTTTTAATTGATAATTATTAATTATTATTTTATTAGTTATTCATTTTTATGAATTAAAATAAAATTAATCAAGATTTAATAGTCTATTTTTTTTTTAATGCATAATACAATGTATATATTGGTGATTTTAGGAGCATACTTGCATGCAAAGTAATGTTCTACTAATTTCTGTCGACCTATGACTGCCCCCCACCCCCTGCTCAATAGCTCCAACCCCACTGTACATATTTTCATATTTTTTTACATTTATAATATTTTTATTGCTAACCCGTTATGAAATATTTAAAAACGATAAATTTAATAGAAGTTTTAATCGCTTCGTAAAGATGTATTAATTTAATATGTTTAGTAATAAGTGTTATTTTTATATAGTTTATTCACGAAACTTACTTATGTAGTGGACTGTGATCAGATTGCGCCATACGGCTAATTTTCTAGCTGTCTTTCCATGTCTGGTAACTGCTATTATCGGACACCTTGGGCGGTACCTGGCAATATTCTGAGCTGACACACCGGACGTAGAGATGACTATTATTGCTGTCGCGTGGCTTTTGAGCGATACCGTCACACAACCGATACTGAACCCTTGAGCAGGATCTGGTTTCAGTTTGGACTATAGTGTGTAAAAGATCAAATGTAATCGACAAAAGAAATAAAATCTGGCATAGTGGGGCCACAGAAAATATTATTATAACTACTAAAATTCCTTTAGACTCTTCGATACGTAACTGTAGATAAAAAAAATGTATATTAATAGATACCGTTTTATAGCCAATACAAATGTTTATATTATTGTGTAATTTATCTTTTGGGTATCCTAACATTTTTAAGGTTTACGAAATTTTATTTTTCATGGGTTAAGCTTTTCTGGTGCCATGCACTCATGTAATACTTACCGTAAGTGTCAAAAGTTGATTCAACTCAATTAATTAACTAACATAATATAAACATTTGTATTTTAAACTCTGGATCCGTAAAAAAATCTCTCGTGTATGGTACTTATTCAGGGTGATCCATACGATATAAGACACTCGATTTCTCAAAAAATATGAATATTTTGAAAATAATTGTTTTTCTATACTCGAAGGTACATATTTTACGATATTTTTCAATAAGTAGAAAAAGTTTAAATTCGTTTCCGTATACGTAAAACCAAGTATAGATCTAGTTTTTTTTAAATGGAAACGAACGTTTTTAATTCCATTAAGGCCCCTGGATACCGATCATTTTTAAGGAGTTTTGTATAGGCAATATTTAAGAAAAAAGTGGTTTTAATACATTTCGACCATGCCAATTAATTTTCCGGTTAATTTTTAAAATCATCACGGTATTATTTTTTATTTAAATCATTTTGTCTATGAGAAAAAGCTATTTTAGTTAATATAATAGTACATTTTTTGTCCATCGCACAGGCTGAACCAGTGATCCGATGAGTAATCTGAAAACAGATTTGAATTTGTCATGAAGTTTACTTGAGATCGGTCAGCGTACTTTTTTGATATCTTACTCCTACTACGCATAAAACACGTTTGAACTTTTTATAACAATTCAAATTCAAATTTGGAAAGGGTTAAAAATAAAAATTGAAAAAAACGCTCTGACCGATCTCAAGTAAACTTCATAAAAAATTCATATCTGTTTTTAGATTGCTAATCGGATCACTGGTTAGATCTGTACGATGGACAAAAAAAGATGTGTTTTGGCTGAAAAAAACGGTCGGTATCCAGGGGCCTTAAAAAAAAAAGTCCATACTTCTGGATTTGTTTCATGTAAAATATATATAATAACAATAAAAAACATTAAACGTACATAGAAAAAAAGTCGATCACATATAATATTACCACGATTTTCGTGGTTTAGTGTGGCCAGAAACTAAAGCTATTGATTTTTATGAGGTAATACCGGTTATAAAGGGTACTCGCAAATACTGGTGAAACCCGAAACCACCGAGTACCCGAGAGTCTCAGGCCGGGAAACCCGGGTACCCGAAACCATTTGTCAATTTTTGATGATGAGTAGCCATAAACTTTTTAAAAATAAAACATACATCGTCTATTGACCAATGAAATATTTAGAACTTTAAATTCAGTACAATTTTTTCGTGGGGACCACTATGCTCCGACTTCACTGTACTGACTTTTGTTTATTTTATGACTAATGTTTTCTAAACGTTATACGAAACGAGGAATTATTATTGTTTAAACTATAAAATTAAAAGTATATATTTGATTTAGTTATATTCCGTATAGTAAATATTGCTTAGTATAAAAGTAAAACTTTAGACTAATGATTAATAATACGTTTTATTTTATTTCTCATAATATAATTGTTTAAAATATAGTAGTATTATTTTTAAACATTTTATTATCAGTCACTGATGGTTAGATTTGTTTTCATTTTATTTTACAAGTTCAAATTATGAAAAGTTTAGTTATCAACATTAGAACTATAGTTTTCTATAGTAAATAGAATAAAATATTTAATTTTTAATTAAGTGTAATTTATTGACTGGCCGATAAGTAGCATTATTTTTATCAGCGTGCATTACTTTACTGCACTCCCCCTACTGTTATTAATTTTAAACTTCACTAATTCTAAAATTAATTATCTAAAAATGGATATCGAGCAGTTAAAATTTTAGCAAATTAATCGTTATTTTAAAAAGTTATTAAATATATAATTTACCGTTTAATTTACAAAAGTGGATTGAACTCTGGGAAAAAATAAAGAAGATTAATATTTGTATAATCTCTAATAAGTAATACCTATTGTAAAACAACATAAACTACTAACGTGTCTCTAAAAGAGAGAAATACAAAATTGCAATTGTTTTAAGAGAAAAGCGGTGTCTTATACTTAATGAATCACTCGGTATAAATACAGTGTAATCGTGATCCATTCAATATCTCATAGAGTGTGATAACAAATGTTCTTTTCTTTTTTATAGTGTTTTATGCAAGGTGATCTCGTGTCTTCGCAATTCTTTTTTTCTTTCCCCCTCTCAAAAAATTATTATTTTTATATCAACTTTTGAAACTTAAATAGTAACGGGTACCCGGGTATTATCTTACAGTCTGACTACCTACCGCAAAAACAATATGGTAGCCGACCTTTTTCGACGGCCCAATGAGAACCCATGTAATTTGTTTAAAGTTTTCCTTCTGGTTATTTTGTGATTTAACCATTTCATATTATCAGTCAAATTAACCCCGGCAAAAGAACCGCTAATGTTTTAACGTCTTAAAACCTTTTAAAGGAATTTATGTTTTTAGGCCTATTAAACCTTGAGATTTAACTCGTTGAACATCTGTTGTTCCCAAATGGCGGATTCTCCTTGACGGCACACGTAGGACAAATACTCTACACAGTGCTCTGGATAGTCGGTGCGCAGTGTGACGTTCAAGTAAATGGCGTCGGTCACATCGAGTACGGTGTTGATGACGGAGTTGACTTCGGCGTTCGACGGGATCGACGTAACCTCCAATGATGACAGAAACCCACCGTGAGTGATTGTCGGCTTTCCCATCTTTAACGGAAAGACGGAGAGTTATTTTTTTGCACTTTAAATAGGATGCCACGATTATTGCGTACAATGTTGCATTTCGATAAAACAATCTTTTGAGCGATGAATATCTTGTCGTGGCCTATTTCCATAGACAGACTTGGTAAATCAAGGAAAACACCGTCGACCAGTGTCAAGATTTCATCAAGGTTTTCGATAGCAATACTGTTGTCGATTTTAGCGTACAAATCAATGTCGCTTCCTTTTTCGCGTTCTATTCGAATAACCAAATAAGTTAGTAACAAGTGCTATCTAACTGTGACATTTAAAAAATTACACATGTTTTTAAAACTATATGTACACATAAATAATTGTGTAATTTTTTCATTAGTCTGCTGTATTTTGATTGTTAACCAAACAATCAATCATAGTGCGCGTATACCCACGGCATAGATAAATGGTTGCACATTAGCCTGTATCACGCAATCTTCGATCGGCGGCAACAAGAGCTCTTATTGAAAAATATGAAAAAGTTATATAATGCTAACACTACTCGTGGATCAATCGTGGAACTTATTAATTATTTTTCACTGATGATCCTTGTTATGAGCCGACCACTAGCCCTTCTGGGTTCTAAGACAAATAAATAGTCAGAAGGAGAGGTGACTAGTTCGATGTATACATCGAACTGAGGATGTCAATACGCCTCCGAAGAGGCAAACTCATGGCCGTGCCTGTGGTCGAAAGCCAGGTGAAATTAATACCATCATGGGACGACTGTGGTGAGTGTTGGGGGCGGTTCGATTTGTGGTGGCGGTCTCTTATGATGGAAAGGGCTCGTCCTTCCCTGGCCAGACGAAATGGATAAAAATGCTGATCACGCAAAACTTTTCAGTCGAGGCGTTGACTCCTGGAAGACTAGCAACTCTGTCGATGGGAGTATAACATCTGACGGTTACAGTGAACCAAATCACTGTAGCAATTTGGATGTGTCGCGGTCTGACCAGTGGTTGATAAGGAGGCTAACCCTTTTTGAATTAAACTAGGAGCCAGGTGAAAAACCAAAGGAATGACGGCGAGCGCTGGACTTTGGGTTACTGATAGCCAGTAATCCGAGTTTATTCCCTAGAACTTGACTGGCATGTGCTTCACTTGGTAACTCGGGCGTTTGACCCACCTTTGGGCGGTAAGGCATCCTAAAGATTCCGCCCTAATTGTATCGTGTGAGGAGAAAAATCGACGGGGTACGGCGGAGTAGGGTTCGAACCCATTTTGGAACTTCTGATGGTCATTGTTATAGCCGGGTTGTCAGTGCTGATAAACCGGCTGTTATAATAAACGTGACTGAATATAACACGGATCCTCAGTGAAAAATAATAAGATCCACGATTTGCCCACGAGTAGCGCTAGAAGTATCTCACTTTTTCATATTTATAGATGAGAACTCTTGTGGCCGCTTTTTAATAGCTTGATATGCAACCAGTTTATCTATAGCCGTACGTATGCCGACCGAACCTGTTATTTAACCTGTTGACCGAACCCTTTTTTTGCAAATCGGTCATCGCAAAAACAAATGTATGCTAAAAAAAACATTCACAAAATCAATACTTTCTCAACTATGCATCCAAGCTAAAACACGTCATGTTTCAACTATCATACAGTATAAGCTATATTTATTATACTCACGGACGAATTCTTTTACCCGGTAGACGTAGGCTGCATCCCTGACACCGGGTATGAGTATCACGTCGATTTTGTTTTGTATGGCCTTGCGTATTCGGCCCTCGTCGTCGTCAGTAAGCCCTGCCGGTATCGGCATTCCCGGAATGTGCACCATTCTTTCGGATCCCAGAAAATCGCCTCGTCTGACCAGGCACTGCAGCTCCTCGCTATCTGTGTGCATGTTAGATTTGTATATTCATTGAACAACGGCAAACAATTCATGGCGTGTCGCAACTCAGATCTTACCCACTTGGTGTACGGATAGTTCGATCTTGCCGTAGTCCAAATAAATCAGATCTCCTTGCTTCAATCGCAAAATATTTTCGGCGTTCACATAAATACGTTCCGGCGAACATTTGTTCTTGTATTCAACATTGTTGGTCACGTAAACGTAATCGTTAGTTTCTAGTTTTATCATCGTTTGTTTCAGCTAAGCAATAATTACATTGTAAAAACAGAGATCAAAATGTTTTGATTCTCTCCCTTTCTCTGGTTCTAAACCAAGGCAGACCCTTCCCGTAATGATTTGAAATTTGACATAAAAAAGCCACTGAACTTATAACATGGACGGTGATATTAAGTGAATCAATATTGTCATAAGTACTATTAGATTTTTGCTTTCGATCAGGTGTTAAATGAGAGTAATAACATCACATAAACATGCCTTTTGGCTGGGAGTCTCTCAGTAATTTGAGTCAAGTTACGTTTAATAACCCATTGAAAACGTGCAATTATCACTCATCAGTGATCCATTTACCCTTATTGATATCCTTCTCCTTTTTTCCCATCCATTTCTCCACACCAGAGTTAGCATGTGTTATGAGGAAAAGAATCTACGTCTTTTATTTTTTTAAACATTGTTCCTAAACATTTGTTTAACAGGTACAAGATTTGACGTAGAGGATTGTAATATACGAAATAAAAAATCCCTCAAAAAAATTAACTAGTTATAATACTTAAAGTTTATAAAAAAATATTATTCTAACGGGCGCGTTTAACATTGAATTGTGCACGTTTGACTTACTTGGGTTCTAAGTATGGTGCCTGTTATTATTTTTTGCCCTTCGAGATTTAGCACGATAGCTAACGAGTACGGTATTCGATCGTTTTTCAAACTATGGTTAAAAACGCCTTGGCGAATTTCAAATATCATTTTCTTGCATTCTTGGACAGTCAGTCCGTCAAACCATACGACCATCATGGAAACGCCTCTTTCGCAATACTTTACTACTTCTTCTTGCGATATACTCGTCGCTGTACCAACGTATAAGTAAGAAGTAAAAAAGGTAAGTTATTATTGTGAACGGTTTTATTGATTAGTCGATCATACGCACAAACGGCAACTGCAATCGAAGTGAGTGTATGCGCAGAAGGTGTAGCATTTGTTTTCAAATTACTCAAATGATCCAGATAATTACTATCAATCGCTTTTGTTTGCATGGTCTCGTTGTTACAAAACGACTATGATAACCGATACTTAGTTTTCAAATTTTACATGGTGGCATACTACTCACCGAGGACATTGCGAGACGGGGTTCTTTTGTGACTTTAGGACCTCTGATGTTCATTTTTATAAAAACACCTAGATTAGTATGAATAAAACAACAATTACTCACTATTATACTTTATAACTAATGAATTAAACGAAAACGTTTAAATGTAAAAACTAAACCTAAATATTATTATAAGTTCCTGTATCCAAGCAATAATTAACAGTTATATAATCATTTGCTAATCATGTTAAAATGCGCAACTCTATTTTTTTGTGGAAACGATATTTTCAATTTTTATCCCACTAGGCCATATAGCCGTGGTCGGATTAATAGGACTCAGGAACAGGGCAAATATTTATGCCAGGAAAATAAAAACAACGGGCTCATAATACAAAATAAAAATAAAGCACAATTTTTTTCAAGTTTAAGAGTATAATTTATTTTAATAAGTAATAAACCGGCTATTAAGTTTTATCATTTTTATTTCTAATAATAATTTGTCAGTGTCAAAATGTATTTTGAATATTATTAATTATTATAATAGACAAATAAACTTAGTTTATAAACAATTAGTAACAATTAAATAACTTTTGTTCTAGTGAATACTTTTAAGATTTTTTTTTTAAATAATTTATACTCATTTGCGCTATAAGCACTATGTATTTTATTGCACTTCACTATTTTACTTTTTTATTTTCTTTATTACCATTTTATTTAAAAACTCAAGACAGCCTTTTTTTAAGAACAATTTGCTGAAAATTTCAACTGCTCGATAACCAGATTTGGACAATTACTTTATAAGTTTCTAAATGTTAAAGGGTAGGATGGGAGGTGGAGTGCAGTAGAGAAATGTGCGCAGATAAAAATAGCTCTACGCGCCTACTCTACCGCACTCCACCTCCCATCCTATTCTTTAACCTTTAGTAACTTAAAAATTAATTATCCAAACTTGGTTGTCGACTAGTCAAAATGTTCAGCAATTTATTCTTAACAAAATGGCTATCTTGAATTTTTAAATAAAAAGGCAATAAAAAATAAATTAAAAATTAAAATAGTTAAGTGCAATAAAATACATAGCGCAAATGAGTATAAATTATTTTTAAAAAAAAAACTTAAAAATATTCACTAGAACAATAGTTATTTTATTTGTCAAATCTTCCTGGGCCACCCTGTATATATTTTTGTACGCGATTTTATTATCTTTATAATATAATAATATCTTTGGTGTTGAAGAAAATACAACGTGTATTGTTATCGTCTGCTTTATCAGAATGAACTGTTGATAATCTTCAACCATGATTTTTTGATTATAAAACAGATATTTTGTTACCGCGGTTACATATGACCATGCATTTGTCATTATGGTTTATATGTACAAGTCAGTGGTATTTATTTTTCGTTTTTAACTATTTTTGTTCTTGATTTGTTTAAAATTAAAATTAGTAAAGTTAACAATAAAGACATAGTTGAAGTTTTAAACATTCCATATGAGAGCGAAGACGAGTTTTGTGATTTAGATGATGAATTTTTGGAAATATTTTCTTAAGACGTTACCAAGGTATACCTATTTATTTATAATATTTTTTTGTAGTAAATAATTTGAATTTCGTATTACTTAGAATTTTTTGTCTATGATGTGTGATCAAAATCGTGTTGTTCATAATTTACAAACTGATCACGACGAAAAATTTTTACGGGAAGTTCCAAATTAACCCGAGAATTCAAATTCAAATAAAAAAACAAAAATTAACCTTGGAATGAAAAAAAAGGTACTTTTGTTACTAATCCTAATATTTTGACATTCATCGTAAATTCTGGATTACCTGATACTATATCAAATCTCTACACACCAAAAGAGTTTTTAAATATTTTTGGAACGATGAATTATGAAAATGTATTATTGAACAAACATTGACATACAGCATACAGATAGACACTTTTAAACCATTTATACTTACAGAAACTCAATTAGAAAGTTAGGTATTATTATAATGATGTCAATTGTCCATGCCCCTAATTCTAGAGCTTACTGGTCTAAAACATGGGAAATTATGATATTTGGAATTGTATGACTAAGAATAATCATTTACTTTAATTTTCCACTGGTTAAACCAGGTTTCTAGCTTTTTAAGATGTATTTGCAGTTTATTAATGGCTGAATTAATATCTGGAACAGAAGAAGTTATGCAGGTGTAATCTGCAAAAGTGGCTAAGTTAGTTATGTTTGAATGAGGTATGTCGACAGTAAATAGATTATAAAGGGTAGGAGCGAGAATGCTACCTTGTGGAACACCAGCTTTTATAGGAAAAGTATTTGAAAGCTCATCATCGCATCGCACTTGGAAAGTACGGTGTGAGAGGAAAGATTTTAAGGTAAGATATAGAGGAGTGGGAAGGAAACGAATTTTTTAGAGCAGGCCTTTGTGCCATACACGATCAAACGCCTGTGCTACATCAAGGAATACGGTGAACAAAAATGTTTTTTTTCTAGAGAAGAGGCAATGTTGTCTACAATTTTGTGTACTTGGTGAAGGGCTTGAAGGGTGAATGATTGTTTCTAAAACCAAATTGGGTATCTGGAATAATATTTTTTTCGGTTATAATTAAATAGATTCTTTTGATTATGATTTTTTCAAGGATTTTAGAGAAGGAGGGGAGTAGGCTAATTGGTCTATAAGACGAAGGGAGATGCGAGGGTTTCCCAGGCTTATGAATTAGAATAATGACCAAGTGTTTCCAAGAAGAGGGAATGTATGATATACGGAGGATAGAGTTAAAGATGTGTGAGAGGTGATTATTTAATGATTTGATTTTTTATTAGGTCATAGCCGGGAGCTTTGTTATTGGGAAGATTCTTAATGATATAATGGATTTCGGATGGAGAGGTATGTTTGGTTGGTAATGACATAGGGAGAATTCGGGAAAGAGTGGATTCTACGTGACTAACGTGTTCATTGTCAGGCATGTCAGGATGAGGAGAGAATCTCATTTCTAGATTGGTTGCAAATAAGTTTGCCTTATCTAGATTAGACGTGGCTAAGGAGTGGTCAGGATGGCGTAGAGGAGGGATTTTATTTTTTTGTTTAAGGATATTTTTAGTAGCTTTCCATAATGAATTATTGGATAAGTTGAGTGAGTTTATATAATGTTGATATTTTTCTGAATTGTGTTTGCGCAGAATATTTTTTAAGGAGGATGTAAGCATATTGTAGTTTCTTTTATCACTGGGCAAGTGTGACCTCTGCCATCTAGAGCGGGCTCGTCTTTTTTCAATTATTAGTTGAGAAATATGTTGGGGTAGGTGATAACTAGAGTTTTGAGTAGAATTAATAGGAATGGAAGAGTCGAGTGCAGCTTTTTGAATAATGGAAGTAAGAGATAGGACCGCAGAGTCAATGTTAAGGAGAATTTGATTTTCAACAATACTGTGGAATTTTGGCCATATAGTTTTACCAGGCGTAATTGTAGGGTAAGATTTAGTTGTGTAAGAGAGATTATTTAAAGTTAATAAGACAGGTGTGTGATCGGAAGAGAGGTCTGAGGAATTAGTTATATTGTAAGAAATGTGATTTGGAAGAGTAGATATAAAAAATTCAAGAATGTCAGGTTGTCTGTTGATGTGCGTGGGCCAGTAAGTGGGATTTGGATGGGCAATTATTTTTAGATTTTTTGTTGTTGTAAAGTTAATTAAGACCTTCTCAATAACTAAAAAAAAAAAAAATCAAAAATTTTTTTTAAGGAATTCAAAACAATTATAATTATGTAATTAAATCTTGTTGAAGTAGTGTTACTGGACACCCCCTTCTTTCACGTTGTCCTATCATTGTATTATATTTTTTTTTCAAATTACTTATTGTAACTAATATTACAGATTGTAAATATATTTATAAAAAATAAAAAAAATAAAAGAAGAATAATCATAGAGAAAATGTTTAGAATCAACAAACCACTGTTTATTGCCTTCGTAGATCTGGAGAAGACCTTCGATAATGTTAAATGGACAAAACTTTTTAAGATTTTGGAAGACGTTGGAATAGACTATAAAGATAGAAAAATTATATATAATCTGTACATCAATAAAATCGCAGTTATAAAAGCTGAAAAAAGTAACAACTAGGTGGAGGCTAAAATTGCTAAGGGGGTAAGACAAGGGTGCAATCTATCACCTACCTTATTTAATCTATATATAGAAAAAGCCTTAAAAGAAGTAAGAAAAAAAACATTGGAGGAGTAAAGATAGGTGGAATACTTGTGCAAAAGCTGTGTTTCGCGGACGTTATTGCTGTAATCGGAGAAAGTGAAGAAGACATAACTAACATGCTCGAAAAAATTAACGACGCGAGGTATTAAGTCTTCTGTTGCACATAGTCCTACAGATACTGGTTGTCTGAATTGGGCAAGAGTTGTTTTATTGTTGTGTACCTTTTCATACAAAAGCCAAGAATTCTCCAAGAACTGTCTATTCCATTATCCGATAATGACGTAGGTTTAGAATATAACCATCGGCATAATGCATTAAATATGTCAGGTGGTTTAACAGAAGTTCAAAAGTGTTTAAGAACTTAAAAGTAAAAAACATGTCCATCCCTCCTCGGCTCCCTGGTCCTTTCTTCTGTCCGGACTCCGAAAATACCCGTAGACTCCATGTCTGGATGAGTGTGGTTTACATTTAACCCGTGTTCGCGGTCAATTTGTCCGGGGAAAGTGATGTGCATTGAACTTCTACCGGAGGAATTGAAAAATCCTCCGGAGAATTCCGGGTTTCCACTGGAGAAATTGCACTCCGAAGATTTTGCCCCCATGAAATAGAGCAATAGACTCTGGTCGGCCATTGATCACCGAAAGGATGGTAAATTGTTGGAGTGGGGGGGGGGGATGACGGGTCCGTCATGTAGAACCGCATGGTCATCGGGCGGACCCCATCCTCCTCGTTGAGGAATGCCTCTAGTCTTAACACCAGATCGGGTTTTGTCCCCTCGGTGCCTAAACCCCGCGCCGCCAACTCGCCTTTCAACTCGGCTATTGTCAGATCTAATAATGCCTTACCTGACATATTGATATCGACGCGTGAACCA